CCTTGCTTCAGGGCAGTAGGGCCTAATAGCCACAGTCAATAAGCCCTCATGGCATTGGGGCAGTAGGGTCTAAAAGCCAGAGTCAGTACGACTGCGGTTAGCCCCTGGTAGGGGGACCCAGGGCCACCCTGCTCCACCAGGTCCCAACTCAAGGCCCTGCGAGCAGTGAGGCTACCTACCGCTCCCTCTCAGTGGGGAATCGTCCCATGTAGTGGCTGGGTCTCCTGGCTCCCTGGCAGTGGTTTCTCCCTAGGTCTCTGTAGTGGCAGCCTCCTGGCACTTCAGCTCCCTCTGTCTGGGACGTGGGCTGTAGCAGCACTGGAGCTCTGTATAGAGATCCTTCCCCTTCACCGGCCAGCCCCAACTGAGCTGCTTTCTGGCCTTTTACACTGTCCCTGCACTTGGAGCATGCCCAATCAGGTCGAAGGGGCAAAACTTCTTCCACCCACAGAGTTTTCACCCCTCCCGTTCTAGTGAGGGGTATGCCCACCCTGTGTCACACCCTGACAGGAAGTTTTTCCTCATGTCCAACCTAAACCTCCCTTGCTGCAATTTAAGCCCATTGCTGCTTGTCCTATAGTCAGAGGCCAAGGAAAATTTTTCCTCCCTCCTCCTTGTAACACCCTTTTAGATACTTGAAAACTGCTATCATATTCCCTTTGTCTTCTCTTTTCTAAACTAAAGCCCAGTTGTCTTCCTGCATAACTCATGTTTTTTAGGCCTTTAATCATTTTTGTTGCTCTTCTCTGGACTGCCTCTTAATTTCTCCACATATTTCCTGAAATATGGTGCCCAGAACAGGATACAATACTCCAACTGAGGCCTAATCAGTACGGAGTAGAGCGGAAGAATGACTTTTCATGTCTTGTGCACAACATTCCTGTTAATGCACCCCAGAATTGTTTGCTTTTTTTGCAACAATGTCACACTCACTCACATTTAGCTTGTGGTCCACTATGACCCCTAGATCCCTTTCTGCAGTACTCCTTCCTAGACAGTCACTTCCCATTCTGTATGTGTGAAACTGATTGTTCCTTCCAAAGTGGAGTACTTTGCATTTGTCCTTATTAAACTTCATCCTATTTACCTCAGACCACTTCTCTAGTTTGTCCACATAATTTTGAATTATGACCAGGGCTTGACAAATAATGCAATCTACTTGCCCGTGGAAGAGCCAGGTCTATAAGAGCTGGGTTCGGGCGATCTGCGCATGTGCAAAAAGTCATTAAGCACCTCTGCCGTTTCCGGTTTTCACTCTTCACTGAGCAATAGGCTTACACTATCCTTGGTCTTCCTTTTTCTTCTATAGCCAGTCCCCAAGTTACGAATGGGTTACGGATCAAACACTTGGCAGTAACTCAAAATGTTCGTAAGTCGGACCCCATTGAGTTACATTGTGACCGTGCTGTTCGTAAGTGCGGGTCGCGTTCGTAACTCAGGGACTGCCTTTACGACCACTTAATGGGAGCTTTGGTCGTAAACGCAAATGTTTGTAACTTGGGAACCGGCTGTAGTATATTTGTAGAATGTAGCCTTGTAGCACTGCGTTTGTGTTAGTGCCCAAAGTCCCAACCACGTGAACTGTGTCCCAGTGTTATGAACACAGTATAAACACAGACTTCTTTCCTATCCCAAAGATCTTATGATGCCGTAAGTAAGAAGCAACACTATCTTCCACATATTACCACCTGCTTGGAAGTCTATTAAATAATCCTTCCAGAGAAAGGAACTGCTCCCTGGCTTTACCAACCATCTCCTTACAAACCTATTAAATCTTAACCATATAGTGCATTAGAAAGATTTTCATGGCTTCAGAACTACCACTGAAAGCACCACACCTACACAGAGCAAAGCTCAAACAGATTACCTAATCCAGTAATTAGTGCCTTTGTACTCTGGAGCAGAATGAGGCAACTGCCCTGATGCTAGTGAATACAGAAAGTAATTTTAACTGAAAATGGAGAGGGAAGGTGTGCCAGGGTGCAGTCACAGAAGACCCCTCGTGGGTACCCTCATGGTCACTGCTACTTGCCTTCCCATTCTCTGGGGCTTCTCACTGCCCGGTCCTGATGGGCCAGCTCTGTTGGTATCCCCAGTCAGGGCCCTGAGCTGAGAAGCAGTACAGACACTGAACCTCTTCAGGTCTAAGGAGAGTGCAGTTTAGGGCCCAGCTTCCTGGGATACCACTCCCCAAATGAGATCAAACCCCAAAGAATTAGAACAGGATAAGCCACCTTTAACAACAAAAGGGGGAATGTAAACACTGATTGATCCCCTAGGTAGTAATTGTTTACACTGGGTTTGATAGGAAATAAAGGTGATTTTATTAAGTACAAGCAGTAGGATTTAAGTGGTAATAAGTGATAACAGGCAGAGCAAAGTAGATTACAAATCAAAAGAAACAAACACTTAGCTAATTCTACACTGAAACCTCAGGACAAACTTTTTCAAACTCACCCTAAAACCTTTTTTCCAGCAGCCCCTCCAAACCAGGACTGTCGCGCCACCCTGAAGTCTTTGGCTCCTTCCTTCAGTTGCAGCCCAGCCAAAAGACAAAAATCTACCTTCCTATTCTTTTTAAAGAATTCCCTTATTGTATGGGGAGTCACTTAGCCAGTCCCTACCAACCACTGCTAAGCCTTAAGGACAGAAGGCTACAGGCTGCGCCCGACTTGCAACACGATCAGTTCTGGAGATAGCATTGCAAGTTGGGGGTGTCATAACCCAAGTCCGCATTTACGACGGGCATTTTTTTGGGGCCCCTTCCGCACTTACAGGAAAGGTTGTACGTGCCGGGGGTCATAAATTGAGCCATTGCAAAGTGGGGGCCTTGTGTATTTGCATATGACTGCCCAGATGCAGAGGCCTCACTTGAGGACTATGATTTTTAAATGTGTGAATGAAAGTATTCCCTACTCCATATGTCTAATCTTACGCACAAGACTGATACACATATCAAAATAAGATAAACAGAACCAGTGGATCATGACGTGAAGATTGATAGGTTACATGAAATAATTTGCTCAAAGCACCTTTAAGTTATGTACATTCATGTCCATTGCAGAAGGGTAAAGGCAAATGAAAGAGGCCATTGCCAAAGAATTTTTTTCGAGATGGGCACAACTAATTATGAAAAAATATTAATGTAAGTAGAATGAATAGATAGAGCATTCAAGTGAAAAGCTCTCAAGAAAAGGCACGGGTGTCAAAGTTGATCTTAAACCTAACAATTACATCATTTTCTGAATTGGGTATAAAACAGCCTCAAAAAAAAAATCTAAGCGCTTTCTTGACCTGACTCTATTGCTAGTTATGTACCATAATAATGGACATTGAAAGTCAGATCCAATGCTCAATTACTTTAAAAGAAAACTGGATTAAAGCCTAAATAGGTACACTTGATATGCTATCTTACTTTAATTCGCAGCTTTGTCTTTCACTCAGAACCTCATCGTACAGCAACATCATAGGCACCAGAGATCAGACCAGTGCCTCTTTATAAAGAATACTGAAGAGATTTTTAAATCTCTAATATATTATAGCCTTTAGCAAGTACTATTGAATATTTGTAAATATAACACTAGGTGCTTATAATCCAGAGGAATAGCCTCCATAGTAGGGATGTAAACGACTAATCAACTAGTCGCTTCTCCACCCCTTGAGGCAGCAAGTGGAGGGAACATAAGCTGGTGCTGGGGTAGCTGGCTTAAAAGCCATTTTCTCCCCTTCCTCCCCAACACTCCTCAGGGAGCAAGTAGAGGCAGGGGGCAGCAGGGAAACCATGCGAGCAGGGATTGAAACAGTCCTACTCACACCTGTCCCTCTGCTGCTTCTTTCCCTTTGGAATGTACAAGAGCCGCCTGCAGTTCTTGTACATTTCAAAAGAAGAGGCACAGAGAGAAATCCAGGGACTGTTTTGCTCCCTGCTGATGCGGGTACCTGCTACCTCTGTCCCTTTGAAATGGACAGGAGCTGCTGCGGCTCTTGTATTTCAAAGGCAGAGAGGCAGCGGAAACCTGCTGCCTCTGTCCCTATGAAATATACAAGAGAGCACCTCCTCCCCATCGACTAGTTGATGGAAATTCCATCAAATACTCAGATGATTAATTGAAATTTAACATCCCTACTCCATTGAATATGCTTAAAGTGCAAACTGTCAGTCTAAACTACTTGCCAATGTGTCAACTTTTATTAAGGCAAAGGAGGGAGCAAAATAAAGTGAACCATAACCAGAAGTCAGGCAGCAAGAAAGCCACATGGGTTGGGGGTTTTTTCTATGCACTAGAAATACATTAGCTCCACAAGCACATAAGTCTAGGATCAGAGCCATTGCAAGAATGTTTTAGTTACACTTCTTGTGCCTGATCCTCCCAAACATGCAACTGGAACTCTAGATTTTTCAAATCATTTGCATGTAGGACTGGCCCTCTACTGGTTTAAGACTCTCACATAATAGTTCTAAAACATATGCAAATCCAATGTCAGTCTAGTTTGGAATATGCAAGATAAAACTATCTTCCAAAAATCTCAACTCAACTGCCAAAAAAAGCATGTGAATAGTTCCACATATTTTACTCAAAAGCTATAGCATACATATGGACATCAGGAAGCTGATTTTAAAAGAAGCACATATGTCCTTGTAATAATGAAGTCAGTTAAGTCTAAGTAGTAAACTAAAGGAAGATCTCACACCAAGCATATCTGTTCTATATACCTCAGGTAGTCTTAGAAAGCAATATCACACTCACATTATGAGCCAATCAATGTCATGCTGCCAGGCTTAAAAAAAACTTCAATCTACATTTACTGAGAAATAGTCTCCATTTCCTGAATATCATTCAGTGCCCAAATGAGAAACTTTTGTGCAAAGTGTGCATGTGAGACATCTAAATCCACTCAACTTTCCCCTCCCACCTTCCGTAAAGACGGAGGCATTTTAGAAAAGGCTCCAATACATACATTCAGATGTTTTAACAGAAATCAGATGCAAAACACCTGCATTGTAAGTTAGCATATATTTTACTGTCTCAATCACAGCAACCTCATACAGTAAGATACACAGAAAATAGAGCATGGTATTACTTGCAATTCAACACAGTTTTGTACTACAGTATTCAATGACAGATATATACACAGGACTTTTACCTTTTTAAAGCAAATAACGTAGTCCCTGCTATGTTCACTGTATAAGTTACGTGGCATCACAGTTTTAGTTAATTACTGTAGTGAAAGTAGCACTATGGAAGTTGAACTAGTGAACTAGAAGGTACATTGTATAGCAGCCAGAACAGGTGTGACACTTCAGAAAGATCAACAGAAAAAATAACTACCAAAATGAGAGCCACCCTTAGACTGTATTTTAGTAGTAAAATTGTTTTAAATTCTGCATTATATACATTAGGTATCTACATTGTTCTATTTTATATATTATATATACGTATTTATAAAAAAGCCATTCAGATTTTCAAAATCTTTTCATATAAGCCTAGCCCAAAGGTTCCCAAACAGTGGGTTACAATGCACCATCAGCATATGGGGTCACAGAGGACTCCGTTTTGCTCTACAAAATGGCATCCTCTATGCTATCTGGAGTCCCGGCAGGAAATAATTAATTAAAACAGAGTTATGCCAACAAAGTTTGGGAACCCTTTCCATAGCCTTCAAAGTCAGCAAGATAGTACCCACTTAAACCACTGATTTGTCTGATAGCTAACCACATGCCATTTACTTTATTTCTTCATGCAAGCCATAAAGCAGCCTGCTCTCTCAGCCTTCTATAAAACCAGGTTCACCTTTTTCTTTGTACATCGACACACTTATGGCTAAAATATTTTAGTAAGTTTACAATATTAGCCTAATTCCCCTCCAACCAAAACAATAAGAAAAATTTGGTGATTAATCATTCATGCATGTTTTTCCACACAGTGTCAATGGACATTTGGGGGGAAAACCTCTAGAATCAAACTGATCAAAACCATTATTTTAGTGCATAGTGGATTAATTTACACTTAATCTCTTTAGATATCTGAAGTGTTTGATTTTCTGAATTTTCTAATATTTTGTCAAACTAGCTTGTCTGTTTAAAAAAAAAAAAGACAACCCTAACTAAATAAAAGGGGGCTCTTGTAGATTTTATTTTCCCATAGACTCAAGTCAGTCCATGGAAAGTGTAATTTAAATTTATTATGTGGCCTGTGAGCCAAACTGTACAGCACACAGCACAAGGGAATCCTAATCTAGGACTAGGGCTCCTAGGCACGATAGTCATACAAATAAATAGTAAGTTCTACTGCCTGCTTCACATCTACAACTGATGGATTTACTCCAATGGGAGTCATACAAGCTCTCTGAATTTTAATCAGATCACTGCCTTAGCCACTGAGCTATGCTATAGACTTTGTAGTGGAATTAGATGCAGGTGTATCATCCATGCACACACAGTTCCCGTAAGCATAAGGGAAGAAAATGTGCCCTTAAGCCCAAAATCCTACAGTCCTTACTCAGGTAAGACTCCAGTTAATTTAGCAGGGGTCTCTCCTGACTGAGAACTTTGGGTTCTTTAAAGAAAGAAGCAAAGAAAAACTGAGCCAATAATATCAGTCCGCCACAGTGACTGTAGTAAACCATGAAATACAGTACAAGTGAAAAAAAAAAAAGGAAAGTAATCTGAACAAGTAACCCAGAGAGGCTTCATAGTTACATAATGATTTTACCACCTTTAGAATTCAACATATTGAATATATTTATTAAAAAATAAACTGTTTCCAAATCACCTATATACAGTACAAAGAATGGGATTGAACACATGTACAACAGAAGATGAATAAAATCAAAACTCAATTGGAAAGACAACACTCCAGGCATAATTTAAGTGACATGTATAGAGATTCACCTTTTAAAAATCACACAGTAAAAACGAGCAGGATGATATTGGCAACACTAGAAAATAAAGCAAGAACTCTCTTCAAATTCAGATTGTATAAGCTTGAGATAAACATCGAGGGATGGAAAGGAGAAGGAAGAAACATGAAGGGAAGATGTCCTGGTGTTTACATTTTAGAGCTCAGGAAATGCAGCCAAACTCTTCATAAATGAGTCCTTTTTGGCAACCAAGTAATTCACATACTTCCTGAAAATATTTTAAAGTTACTTTATCAAAACAGACAGTGAGTTCACAATACACTGAAAACGCTGCTCTGAATTTTGATTTTATATTCTTATGAAGTTTTATTTGGGTGAGGCAATAACTGCCATGTAATAACAAAGGTGTGGTGTCAAAGTGCAACAGCTGCCAAGTTTTAAAGGAAAATGTGCTTTTCTCCTACATCTAAATTGAAAAGAAGTTATTGGATAAGAATCATCTAAATGGTAGCAGCATGAACTCTAATGTGTATGCAGCATTTGTGAAGCCACTAAAACTGAAACTGGCACCTAGTCACTGAAATGTATTTCCAAATACTGGACATAGCTGTTTTTTTACACTTATATATAAAGAGGTCAGTATCATATTTGTTACCAGTGAAATCAGAAAATTCCATGTGTTTTAGCCCTTGTTTCCCCCCCACTCAAACACACAATTTCAAGTCTATCTATAAACAAGGTGTGGCAGCTGGGTTGATTTATAGTTTAATTGATTGTTAGGCAGGAATCTGTGGAGCTCACTCTTTCTACAGCAGGGATCATAATAGTAAGCATTGAGGCAAACATCACATGAGACTTTTGAACAGAACGTGCATGTGTTTGCAGCTCCAGATCGATTACAGAAGCCACATCGCAGGGTGCCTGAAGGCTTGGATTTTGAACTGAGTTGAGCAGCTCTTTCTTGACTCTGAAATGCATACTGAGATTTCTCTCTCAATGCAGAGCCAGGAGACAAGCCTTCATTTGGAATGGTTTTGATTGAATAACTGCTCTGTTTCACTGCTGGATATTCCTGCCTATAGATGAGCACATTGTCACACTTTTGGCAAACAGAAGAGCCACAAGATATGCCACAATTCTGGCACTTGAGGGAAGTTGTCTCTTTGGCTAGATGTGTACGTTTGTGGTAAATGGGATTGGCATCATTTCTTATTAGCCATACATCAGGTTTACCAGCTTCTTGTCTTTTAAAATGTACCATACTTCTAGAATCAGGATCAGTATACAAATCTAAGTCTTCTGGAGTGGAAAAATAGGAGTTGTGGGGGACAGTTGTTCTTAACATGCCATTGGGATGGGATGGAACTGGCAAAAATTCATCTGAACACCCATGTGGAGAACTTGATATCGTAAGAAGAGATGGTGATGGACGTATTATTTCATCTTTAATGTCATCTTCTGTATCAACCAAAATTGGTTCTTTTCTGAGACTCAATGTAGTCATCAATGGTGGTTTCTTGTTTTCCCAATAGCTGTCATATGTGTCGACGGATTTAGAAGGCTTGCTTACTTTTGGCTTGAAGTAATCTTTAGAGGCTCTTTCACTAGCAGATTTCTGAAGAACCATGCGTGCCATAGAAGTGTTCAAGTTTTCTTTGCATTCTGTGCGCCGTTTCATAGCTTCTGAGCAGCCTCTAACATCTTCATTGCTATTTTTTCGCTCATTTACAACATCAAGCTCCGAATAACCTTTATCCTTCACTTGCAAATGAATTTCAAGCAGTTGTTCACACTCTATTTTTGCCAAAAAGAGTTCAAATGAAACCATTTTGACTTGGATGGCATCAACCAGCTCTTTGAGCTTATACATGGTTCCCAGTTCTTGGACATACCCCATGTAGTTCAGAATCTGTCTTACATCCTCCTCAGGTAGTGTGGATTTTACATAATAGACAAAAGGTCCCGTGTAGGTCTGGAAGGAGAAAAAAAAAAGGACAGTTAGGTTCAGTGGGGAAACTAGATGCTTTGACATTAAGTGATGGGTACAATATAGGTACCTTGTTAGTCCTAGCTAATCAATCTATGACCAAAGAGTACATATAGTCCATGAAAGTCAAACCCAAATTTTGTAGCACTCCTGTCTGAGACTAAATTTGCATCAGATAATCCAAAAAGGAAGGTTTTGCTTAAATTTGAAGGCAATATGATCAGCATTTAATGCCACTGTTGTTAAATTTTGTTTTTATGCATCCCCTAAGTATTAAATTGTAAAATACCAGAAATGGAATTTACAAGACAACTACACTGTACAAGGTATAGGGGGAGGGGAATGGAGGTTTCAGGAGTGGGTAGGGGAATTTAGGAATCTGGAAAACTAACTGTATTGGGAACATGGGAATCATAAAATTAACTGAATGTTTCCACTACAGCAGTCACTGAAATAGTTACGGTTGACATTTAAATCTTATCTGACTTCAGTGTTATATGTACTGAAATGGATGATGATAGTTGAAATCTCGGCAAATATTTCAGATGGTTTGATGACTGAAGGGGGTGCTGCACTGGTTTATGCTGTTCACATTTCAAAGGTTTTATTCACACTAAGTGGGTGGAACATTTTAACATATTTGGAGCACAACTCTGCAGGAAGAGATGGATTTTGTAGCAAATTCTACAGCCACAAAGCCTTGAAATAATCTGTGCTTCCATTCCCCTATCTGTAATGGACATAACATTTATTACTTGCATTTGCAAAGTCTCCCAGATAAAAGGTGTTTCGCGTGCTAATAATAAAGGACAGAAAGCCTTCAATAGTGTTGACAAAACTGACTCCAAAGAGCATGAAGACTGTTTGATTTGGAAAGTAAATTTATTTTCTAAATTTTCTTAAGACTTAGTCATGTTTTATATGTCAAGAGTCTACAGTAAAGAGAGGTTTGTGGGGGATGAGGAAACATATGGATCCATAACACAAATCCCTTGTGATGCAACACAACTGAGATGCTATCTGACTGGATTTCAAATCCTAGAATGGGTCATAAGTGGAAATATTTGGTTCTGTCAATCTTGAACAGTGGTAAAAATGATCATATAGGACCCAAGTATATAATATTACATCCCTGTCTAGGACACTTGTAAGATCTAGACTATTCCAACCTCTCAGGACTTATTGCAGTGAGGAAGTTGACATATGGAGAATTCTACTCGTCTGGAATATCCCCAGCCCCGCCCTTCCCACCTTGCCCTCTGAGATGAGACAAACTACTAAATGCACAGTGCAATTTTTTAAAAAGGATACTGTCAAATAGTTTAATGTCTAGAAAAATGCTTTGTAAAGCTATATTAGAAGTGCTTACATGTAGCTTTTAAAAACAACTTGTCTGGATTTAAAATTTCACATGCAGTGTTTACAACGCAAACACTATAGCTTTGAACTACTATAAATGAGAACTCAAAGACAAGAGACTCAAAACTCGCAGCAGAAGTGAAGCCAACTAGTCTGTTTCCATGGTCTTAAATGAGATATATGCAAGTATTAAACAAATAGCACAGATGATGAAAATTACATTAGGCTTTTAAAAACTATAATTTTCAAGCAAAGATCCTGACACAGGTAAGGCATTTGAAAGGATACTGAAAATTAAGGCTCCATGTGATCACGAACAAAGAAAAGTTCCTAAAGAAAACTAAAGAAGTTTGCTTGCCAGTGTGAAATGAGTTGAGGATCCCAATCCAGTCTCCAGTAAACAAGTGTCCACTTCACAAAACAGTGCACATTACAGTTAGTGCTAAATCAACTGGAGTTCTGGCAGAAAGGGCAAATATTTGAGTGAACTTTAGAAGTCAACTATCCATTCACCCTTGTGATGTTCTCTCACCACCAAGGTCAGGATACAACAATAGTCAATGGGGGAGGGAATCTTTGCACTGATTCTTCCTGAGTTGTAACTGTTCTGTGGATACAGAGGACTTCAGACTCCAGAACTGTCACCTTTCACTATTGCAAAAAATACTCAAGAATAACATTAGATGAAACTACAGACAATCATTCTAATACATTACCACTATATGTGAGACTTCTTACCTTTATAGTTTTGAATTCCTTCTTCCAAGGGTAAAGAAAGAGATTAACACCTACTACCTCCAGCAAAGTGAATGCATTATGGAGAGAACGTAAATTGGAGGATTTCAGGGATCTTAGGGAATTTTCAACCATCTCATAAAATTTAATCAACCGGAATCTATAAAAGGGATCAATCTTGGGAAGGCAAAGTAAAGCTGATGCTGCCGCTCGCAAATACTCATCATTAACAGGACGCTGTTTGTTGTCAGAAGCATTCAGTTTGGATTCATGGAAGTGTACATATTTCCTAAATAAATCTTCTTTATATTTCGTATCCATTGAAATAGGACTTTGGGTCACTTTTGGGTGGCTACCTTGTTTCTTCCATGGTTATTCTGCAACAGGCAGATTAGTGAGTCTTTTACAAGTTTTCAGTAATTGTAATTTTCTGAAATAAAAAGAAAAACAAAGTTTACAGCGGAACTCCTCCAGCATACCTGTAATTTCCACATATCCAAAGGAGACTATGAAAGTGCACAGAGCAGTGGCTCCCAACCACAAACCCTTCAGGTCTCTGTAGCCATGTAATAGGTGTACTGGTCTCTTGGTGCCCCAAGGAGAGCATTTCACAGCCATTATATACACCGCTCCTTGACTGCATCCTAGAACAAAACCAAGCTAGAGACTAATGTAAGTATTTGGGAGATAAATTCCAGCAATGGGTGCACAACAACAATTTTCTAAGTCCCATCTTGATTTGAGTGAAGACAGTCCTAGCCCCAAAGAAATCAGGTACGCATGAGCCTAAAGAGAGCAGAAATGCTTTTGGGTCCCTAGGAGTAGAAAGATTTGATGACTAAAAGTGAAGGTGGGTGCCATGAAAAAATAAGTTACCTATTTATATAGTTCTGGGGACGGAGTTAAGTTGCATGAGGAGTAATAAAATCTCTGATTATAGTTATCTTAGTTTGTTTTCCTCAGAAAAACATATAAACATGAACTGCTCCAAAAGGGTCCTTTCTACTTAACTCAGGACTTCTGCTATAAGTCCCTACCACTGCATAGACTGGACAGTCCAGCATTTTAGTCTTTCCATCCTTCTCTGTGTGTCTGTGCGCTACTAATAGCCTACCCAGATGTGCATACACTAACTTGCCCAAAAGGTGAGGCTGCTGGACACTCATCTCATTTCTGTGGAAGAGTGCACATGCAACTGGACAGGAGGCAGAGAGCAGCAACTGACACAGCCATGGTAACTGCCAGTTTCAATCTAAAACATCAAAAGGCTCGTGTCCCTACTTCCAACAGCTAGTACTTTCTACTTGGACTATTAGGCAGGTGTAGTACAAAACCCTTTAATACATTTGTTTTTCACTAGGGATGTATAACCATGTCTTCACTTACTGCACCTGAGTAGGGATGTTAAATATCGATTAATTGAATAGTCAAGTAACCTCATGAATTCTTAGCAGTTAGTCGACTATAGTCTCTGGGGATGGCAGCTAGTGTGCTCTGGCCTCACTCAAGGAGCTGCCTGCCACTCCACACTGATGCTTCTCCCCTCGCAAATCAGCTGCCTGTCCCCTGTGCTGCTACCTCTAATAAAGAGGCAGCAGTGTGGGTGACAGCAGCCCGTGTCTAAGGGGGTCTGAGCCGGAACTAAACCAGGCTGCTGGCCAGCCTGCTAAAAAGTTTACTGGCGGAGGAAGGGGGAGGGAAATGCATGTAGTCTATAGTGTTAGCTTTTGCTTATCTGTTAACTGACTGCACTATTAGATCCCTATACCGGAGATTGATCTTCTGGTGTTCAATTTAGCAGGTCTAGTTAAGACCCACTAAATCAGATGCTGAGGGTGGCATCTGTTGGTACTGGTACTCCTTGCAGTTACAAGGAGTAAGGGAAGCTGACGAGAGCATTTGCTCCCATCAGCGTCCCTCTATGAAGACTGCACTAAGCTCAGCTTAAGGTAAGCCAACTCCAGCTACATATTTTATGTAACTGGAGTTACTTAACCTGTATCTTAACCCTGGTGTAGACCTGGCCAGAGTGTAACCAGATAACTCTTTAACCAATAAGCTGATGCATATGGCTCAATGGTGTCTGTTATGCTCAGCCAGCTCCCAGGGAGGAGGCTTCACTGCTGGAACGAAGCCTCCTCTCCCGGGAACCAGGCAGTCAAGGGTTGCCTGCTCTGTTCCCAGGGAGGCAGCTTCCTTGCCACAGCAAAGCCACCTCTCTGGAAGCCAGGCTGGCAGGTGCTGGCAGCCCCGCTCCGCGAGAGATTTTGCTGCAGGCTCTGCAGAATACTGCAGAGCCCACAGTATGTAACTGTAACCACTGAGGTTTTCAGTGGTTAAACGATTGCCTATTTAACTGACTTAACATTCCTAGTTTTTAATAGGTGCATTGATGTTTGTGTTTCTACTTCAGTGACTTGATGTCTCCAGCACAGTCAATCCCTTTACATTGACTTCCAAATACTACGGAGATGTCATCTAAATAATACAGAATACAAATTCTCATTTTTCAATCCAGTATGCTTCTACTCTGTTTCCCCTAAGCTGGGTGGCTGTGCAATTTACCATTAACCCCAGGCAGTGGCTCAGGGCAGCAACAGGGAGAGATCCCTCTCCCCAAACCTTGAAGCTGTCAGGGCTAGCAGAGGGGAGCCCCTTTCCACCATCCCCAACAGGGAACTGATCAGGCAAACTCAAGCCCCAACTGCACCTTAGACCTCCCCCCCAGCCCTAAGCACATGCCTGTAATTCAAAGCCCTCTTTCCTAGCCTCATCCCAAAGCTCACACTCCTAGCCCAGAGCCTGAACTAGGGATGCTAAATTTAGATTAATAGCCTAATTGAACAGTTGATGCAATTTGCATGGACTATTTGATTAGCCTATAAGGGAGCCCCAAGGCTGTTGCTACACTTCAAAGGTGAAAGCCATGCTGAGAGCACTGGGCCAGCAGGTGACTGAGTCCCCTGGCTTCCTGTGGCATTTCAAAGCAGCAGCAATGTGTGGAGCCAGAAGCCAGCTGGGGACTCCCCTGCTGACCCTGGTTCTACCATGGCTATACGCAGCACTGCTGTTCTGAAGCCTCCCCTCCTCTCCCTGCCCCCTTGCTGCCTCTTTCTGATAGAGGCAGCAAGGGGGGGGGAGCAACTAGTCAACTAGTATCAACTATCCAATAAACTTTTGCTTATTGGATAGTCTACTAGTCTTTCACATCCCTGGCCTGTACTCCCTCCTGCATGCCAACTACCAGCCCAAAGCTCCTCCCTAAATCCCTCATTCCCAGTCCCACCCTAGAACCCATGCCTGCACCCCAACTCTCTGCCCTAGCCCTGAGCCTCCTCCCACACTCAAGAACCCCTTGGCTCCCCTGCCACCACATGAATTGTGTGCGCGCGCACTAATATGAAGGTTAAAAAATTCATTACGCTCAGGAGCAGAAAAAACTCATAGGGAACACTGTTTCTACTCATGACTGTGAAAGCCTCCCAACTGTGAACCAAGTGAAAGTCAATGGAGTGTTGTCTTTCTAAATCTGCAGTCAGCCTGAAACAATGACTCAAAGTGTAAACTCTCCAACCCACATTAATCCAATGTAAATGCCATCAGTAATTATTAAGTTGCTGATCATTTTAGCAGATGGGAATGAAGCCAGAGGGAGGAGGCAAAAATGAGAACTGCAGCAGATACATCAGGAAGAAGTTAATGAAGAGGAGAAACAGAGGGGAGAAATTTCAGTGGTCCCAAATTCAAGAATATTCTTTCACCACATGATGCTGAATACAACAATGAGAGAGGCAACAAGCTAAGTTGTTTGCACACAAGTAGGACATCTTGACATCTGTAGGAGTTATGTTGTGAATTACAGGGACTATGGAGTCCTAAACTTATATCTCAGCCCAAAGAACATAAATAAAAATGCATTTCAGTCTTCTCCACAAGATGATTTACGTCCCTTCCCTAAAGCTATTTTTTTATTTGTATAAAACAGAACTGAGCAAAAGCAGCAGAATGCCACTGCTCAACCAAAATAAATACATACATAAGCTATGCAAAAGAGCTCTGATTGTTTCTAATCAACTGGGACTTTCAAACCAGTCTGGATAGTAGACTTAAAGAGAGAACAAATCTGTACTAGAATGGAGCTGGATTAGATATCTTAACCTCCATCTCTATTTTCAATAATGGTAACAAAGCTCTTGTATCATACATGAATAGGGCATTCAGATGAGGAAGTCCCCTAAAGACAAGTAAGTCCTTCATAAAGATCTTATGAACTGTGACATTCATAGTCATCTCCAGCTCCTACTATGACTTGCCATTTGTGGACATGCCAGGGTTCACCAGCTCATGGCTGAAAATCAAACTGTCTACTCTTCACACCTTACAACAGCACTGGTATGCCACTGCAGCCGAAACACTGTAAGGTGCACAGTGTAGCTTCTTTTACAAAATAAAACCACTTCCACCAAGTAGGGATGTAAGTGTCTAATCAACTAGTCACTCCCATCTCGCTGCCTATCAAAGAGAGGCAGTAATAAGGATGTTAAGTAGTGTGTAATTCACTAATCAAATAGTCAATGCATTTTTGCACCAATTAGTCGATAGAGCGGTGCTGTCCCTTTGAAATGCCCCAGCTGACCCCAGGCTCCACGCTGTGCTGCCGCTTTGAAACACCATAGTGGCGTTTCAAAGGGGCAGCACCACACAGCTGATCCCGGGCTCCACGTGGCACTGCCGCTTTGAAGTACCCCACCTCCGATAGAGGCAGCAAGGGTGATGGGACTGACTAGTCCTTAATACCTCTAGGCAGCATCCCTCTTCCCCAGCACCATCTCGGCTGGAGGGCAGAAGAGACAGAGGCGTCGCTGATTCCTGGCTCATGCTCAGCCCTTCTCACCCCCCGCCCCACCCTCCTGTTGCACTTGAGCTTTTTAAATGCCACCGGGCTCTTAATACATTTAAAAGGCAGAGCCTCAGTAGAGTTAATTCCATCAACTAGTTGATTAGCTGATTAAACACCATTTAATATCCCTACCACCAAGGGGTGGGAGCGTTTCTCCTTAAAGCATTGTCTATACAAGTGCTTTACATCATTACAACTTTCCTTGTTCAGAGTTGTTTCTTTTTCCATACCCTTGAGCAATAAAAATGTTAACGAATGTGCCAATGTAGACAAAGCCTTAGTCAGAAACCAACAACTTAAGAAAACTCTTGTTTTGCTTCTCCACATCTACAGTTTAACTTCTTGAAAAAAATCATTATCACTAATCAGCAAGCAGGTTTTAACAGGTGTTAGATGGCAACAGTTTACTATGCCATACATGGTTACAGTATTGAATAAGAAATTCAGTGCACAAATAGACCTAGTAATGACTCCTGCTCAGAAGCTTGAGTAACATTGAACCCTCTCCATGCAGCTCAACCAGAAAGTTGTAACATCTCATGTGGTAACCTATATACTACAAGCTGTGCTCTTAGTCCAGCTCCTTCTGGACATAAAGAATGCCATTAATATAGTTCTTCCCCTCATCACAAAGTCCAAGCATAGAAATGGAAAAAAAATGAATGGGCCCTAGATTCAGCTGCCCTTTCAACCCTAGAAACATTTAGCGTAGTATAGAGATGAAATACAGCCATACCGACATAAGAAAAGCTTATACCATGCTGCTACTCATGCGATCACCTTTATAGGGTTGAAATAGGATTTCGGTCTCTAAGACTTTCACCTAAGGATGTTAAGAGGCAGGTAACTGACTAATTGTGTAGTCGATACAATTTGTATCATATATCGACTACATGATTAGTTCATAAGGCTCTGCAGTTTGAATGTAGGAGGAGGCAGGCCGGCTCCTATAGCCCCCACTGCAACTCTGCAATTTAAATGTATGTCCTACAGAGCCTGGAACTAGTAATGCTGTGGCTCTTCAAGAGCTGCCTGGCTCTTATTATATTTAAAATGCAGAGCCGCAGCAATCCCAGACTGGTGTGAGCTGGGACTAAGCTGGACTTGCTCGGTTCCAACGCAGGCTGGGTCCAGCAGCCCCTGTCCACGGCCAGCCCCACCACCACAAACAGAGGCTGCTGCTAGAGCAGTCTCTGTTCACAGGGAACAGGGGTGACCTCGGATAGGGCCTGTAGCCAGAGCAATTTCTGTCCATGATGAGCCTGGGCCCACTGCAGGCAGAGGCTGCTTCATGGTAGCCTCCCATAACCCCCACTGCCTCCACTAGAGGCAGCAGCATGGGCGGGGGAGGGGGGGAAGAGAGGGGAGGAGAGATGGCACTGCGAAGACGGTGCTGGAGGAGAACCAGCCTTTAAGCCAGCTGCCGTCCCCCACCTTGCTGCCTCTGATATAGAGGCAGCACAGGGGTAAAGGAAGCGAGTACCCAATAATTAATTACCCAATAAATTTAGGCTTATCTGGTCATCAACTACTTGCTTACATCTCGTTCACTAACACAAAGGAGTACCATATTGAACACAAGACAATGCTTAGCAACATGAAAGAGCCTTTTAATAATAAGGCATCATAGATTAAGTTTATGAAAAGATAGAAAACTACAAAGGACATTAATTTATCACCCTTAATCAAAACCAGTTTGCTTATAAACTGCATAATTTGTGTTGTGTTATCTCAGAAGAACTAAAACTCTTAAAACAGCAAACTAAAGAAAGCTAGCTGACCTATTCAACACACTTATAAGACGATAAAATGTGCAACCTTCAGAATAATGATTACAGCAGAAAAAGCAGAATTAAGATTGTACTGAAATTCAACTGCTTTTTCTAAAAAACGTGACAGCTCTGAGAGGCAATCTATAGGGAAGTCAAATAATTCTGTCCCCGTAAGAATAAGCAAAACCCACGCAATCTTAGATTGGTCTTCAAAATGGTTTCTAAAGCATATGACAAGAAAAATCCCCAGACCAGCAGAAGAAAATCCCCCTGCAATTTCTTGCCATATTTCTTAACTACTCAAGCTAGCACCATTCAAAATACAAAGTTCTGATTCAAAGAACTATTGAGTAAGTGGAATTCCTTGCCCCAGACAGTGAGAACATAGCTTTTATTACACTGAGCAACTCAACATGAAATATGGCTGAACTGTCACAATAATTTTACCACAAACCCACAGGCATCTCCCATGAATAACAATTTGGGCTAGAGAGGCTCACACACCAGGGTCTCATCAAGCATGCAGATTTTAAAAAATTCATCTGAACCTATAAAATAACTTACTCTGGTATTCCCTTTTCAATCTGTTTCTGAGCCTATAGCTAATATAGTGAAAGCCTAAACCCATACCTAATACAGTGAAAGCTTGCTCTAACCTGGCAACCTTCTCAATCTGGTTTCCATGGTATACTGTTTGAGAAAAGCTAGGTTCTCTCCTTGGCACTGCATTTAACATGTTGACAATTCTACATTTTCAAAGAGACCATTCTCCTGGAATATTCTTCCAGTGCTACTTGTCAGTCAACTTTGCTGCTAATTCAGCCTCAGAACCTTCCTGTGCCTGGTACAAAGTCAAGACACTTTATTATAAATCATTGCTGTCCATCAGTTACCTGCAGGAGCTCCCATCCTCTCTCTAACTTCAGAGTCCATTTACACTGAAGGAAAACAAAAGCCAACCCTGACCAACCACATCATGAAGCCTCATAGCTTGGGTCAACTGGGACTAAAATGAACAATGCAAATGTTCCTAACTGATCTGGAACTCAAACTCTGAGGTTTCTCTCCCACTCCCATGATTTCACAGCCGCAGAGGCAGCTAGCTAAATGACTATCATTAGCGCCCCAGCATAGGCCAGAGACAGCTGGAGGGCAGGTATTTGTTTCTGCAATGTAACTACACCCGTAGGACCCTATGCAAAACTTGCTGTGGATTGGACAGTCAATGGACCATCCTTCTCTGCATAGGCCACACAGTGGCCAGAAGGGACCACCGGGATCACCTAGTCTGACCTCCTGCCCAACACGGGACATACCTGCTCCAGCATGATTCCCTGGGCTGAGATTTTGCACCCTTAGAGGCATCTCCTCCCAGCCTAACGCCCCCCCCCTCCCCCGAGGAGGAAGTCTCCGAGTACATTACCAGGGGCCGGGGGACGCCAATGTGAGCCCGAGATCTCTCTGGCCCTTCCGCACCTGTGCTCGGCGGGGCTACCCAAACCTCCCCCAGCCAGGGAAAGCGAACCCAGGGCCCGCAGCGGGGCAGGCCGGGCACCCCGCACCGGCAGGCGCACGAGAGCCGGGCGGAGAGGGGCCCGACAAGGACCCGCAGGGCTTACGACCAGGAGGCACCCGCGGGACCGCCCGGGGAGAGGCAGCGAGACCCACCCCGCACCCGGGACTCTCCCCCGCTGGGGCCTCCCCACTCACAGCTCGCAACGAGGGGAAGCCGTAGCGCGCCCCGCGGCCAGCCGCCCGCCTGCAGGAAGCCGCCGGTGACCCGGATACAGACCCCCGCCCTCCCTCAAGCAGCCGGAAGTGACCCCTGTGGGAGCGAGAGGGGAAGCACAAGGACCCGGAAGGGCTTTGGCGCATGCGCGGTGCTCTCGGGAAACACTGCTGTAGCTTGTAAGACAGCCCTCCGTCCCTCTCTCTTGTCCCTTCCCCCCAGCGAGGCAACCGCATGCTCCTGGCTCCAATAAAAGCGAAACAGTGGCAGCCACCACGGGCAGCAAATCAGTTTAGGCGGAGGAAGTGACGTACTACTGAGGTCCGTAGTCATTGCGCATGCGCTTCTTTGGGGACGTCACTTCACGTGTGATGTCATAGAGAAGGATTTAAAGGGCTAGAGTATCTTCCTCAGGTTTTTTTTTCTTTACCTGGCCTCTTACCATAAGGGCTCTTCCTATAGACCTGCAAGGCCACCTGCAGCTTGACTACTCCTGTCCAGCAAGGGCCCAGGCTGTAAGTGGCCTGCTGGATAAAACTGGGCTTTTCACAACAGGGCAGCTCTGGCAGCAGGTGCTGATAGTCCTGGGATGTGCCTGGTTGCACCAGCCCTGCTTGAATGAGAGTCCCAGGTACTTCATCTAGAGCCCCAGTGTCTAACACACTATCCACATGTGGCTATTTGGCTGGTTGAGTGTGACCAGTTTGCTATAAGAACTGGTTGGACACCACAGAGCTAGAGCCTTGTTAGGTGAGGGAGAAGATGGATCAGCTTTTCTGGCACTAGCTAAGGGCTTGTCTGCCCTATAAAATTAAGTCAACTTTATGCTGATGTACAGCCATAACTGTAATTAAAATGATGTTTCACATCGCACTATGTTCCTTCGTCAGTGGTGTGCATCCCTACCAGGAGTACTTCCAATGAGTAAAGTGGGGCATTGTGGGAGCACTGCCAGCTGGAGATCCCACTCACCCACTGTAGAGGTAGCAGGCAGAGCAATCGGTCTGGTGTGGAGCTCACAGCTGGAGTTGGTAGATGCCCTCAATACTGCAGCCAGCCTGCAAGTGCCCAGTTGGAGCCAGGATTATGGAGGCTGACAAACTCTTCACACCACAGTGGCAGCAGCCCTGGAAACCTCATCTGCAGGTGATTTTTGGTACTGCTAGGCTCCCAGCTCCAGGACATTCTTGTAAGTTACATGGGGACTCCTATTTCACATTTTGACTCTTGCTCCCTGCTCTGCCCCATAATGGGGAGGGGAGGTGCGCTCCAGCTATCAGCCTACACGGGATGGACAGCCAACGTGATGTAAACAATGTAGTGTCTACACGGACATTGCATCATATCTACACATCTACCTAAATTGAGCTTTTCATGGAGGTAGAATTATTAAGTTGGGGTAGTAGACAATTTAAATCAGTGGGAGCAAAACAGTAATATAGAAACTTACAGAATTAGGTTGATGTAAGCTGCTTTACATTAACCTAACTGTGTAGTGTACACCAGGCCTCAGTGACTGATAAACTCCTTTAGGGCTTTGCAACCAATGCCTCGGAACAGGACAAAGCTGCCACCCCACAGAATCCATCTTGAAAAATAAATGCTGTTTCCGATCCTGACCTGGCCACCCACCTGTAAATGATTTAACTGTCAGAAAATGATCAGGAATGGAAAAAACACTGTTTTCAAGTTTTGACCTGCTTTAGTGTTTACTTCATCACCTTTGTTCCACAGAGAGCCAGAGAAGAGGATGAGCTTTAGTCAGTCTGATTCCAAAATTTCTAATGCATTACCAATGTGATGTATTCAAACAGCATCGTTCAGGACCCCAAGCCATCAGACTTGCAAACAAGAGTTGGGCGTGCATAATTTTTTTTTATTTTTATTTTTATTTTTGAGCTTAAAAGCTCATAAAGGTTCACATTTTCCACGTTTTTCTAAAACTTTGAGCTAGAAACACGCTTTTAAATGAAAATTGAAATGTTCATGCAGTTACAAGAACACAGGAACTGAGGCCTAAGGAAAAAAACATTAAATATTGTAAGATTTGTGATAAAACAACAAGAGTTGGCAACATAGCATGGACTATTTCTTGGGACACCCATAGCAATCCAGCAGAACCTCTAAAAAACAATCACATGTGGGGAGGCAACAGGATGCTGCACTAAAGTGGGAGGAAGGAAAGCTTTGACAGGATCATTGGGTCACTAGTCCTGCTTATTCTTGGGATTAAATGGGATTTTGAAATGTGCGAAAGAGTCACAGCCTTGGTCTTACATCTCATTTGAAAGACATTAAGGTCAATTCCAGCAGCTCAATTTCCTCACTTTCTAGAGGAGAAATGTGTTACATCATAATTACAGCAAAAAAAAAAAATCCTTTAAAATAATGCAGAATGTGGCTACTCATTCACAACAATGAAATCTATTGACAAATCATGAGACAATTATTTTATAAATTGCTTTGAAAGCCACAGAATAACAACAGCATTATCCTTTTCTAAAAAGGTCAATATTTCTTATATAGCCAGAACAGCCATGATGATAAATGAAGAGGAAAATAGCATGACGTTTTGTTACTAGAAAACACCCAAATCATATGCTAGGAATAACATAATGATTAAAATGTGGACAACCTGCATCCTTGAGGCTATGTCAAAAACCAGGCAGATTCTGCCTGCTAACGGTTACTTACATTCTGTTGCCTTAGCTATTTTTTAAAGTATTTGTTTGTTTTTAGTAACAGGATCATTTACCTTTTGTTCCACTTAAGATCAGTCTGAAACTAACAAACTCCATTTCCTTTACATTCTGCTTGAAGGGAGCTGATTTTACCTCAAGCCTGGCTTGTTGTTCTAACAATGTTTAGGTTCTAAGGCTGCTGGTGATAAGTGCTAATGTGTTTTACAGCTGACTAGAAGCTGATTGTTTTCCAAGACCAACTCTGAATGTCAAAAGCATAGTTGTTCTTTCTCTGCATCTTCAGTGCATTATGTTCCATGTATGGCAGGTGACTCCATCTGACAAAGCACTCAGTGAATTCAGTTTCAGGAGGCCTGTATCACTTGCAGGCAGAAGCAAAGCATTAGCAAAGTCTAAACTATAAGACAGAGTGTCAGGCACCATATGATAAGGGCTTAAATCTGACCCATTAAAGCCTTTACAAATGAGTCCTTATTTTGCAGCTGGTTCTGAATTTAAACTCAGGATTAAACCTACCCGTGGATATGCATGTGCAGTTAATATGCATGTTGTGAGCACAGTTCTGAGAAAAGAACAGAGACCTTCTGTCACTGGCAGTGTATCCATAGCTTTGATTTTCTAATTCTGCTAGTTAAGTGACAAGGCACTTGGCACATGAATGGAAACATTTGGCTTCACATATACAGTATGTTTTCTCTTGTATTTTTCCTTCTGCCTTCCTGATTTGCATTTCACACTACTCTCCTCTCTAACTTCCTCCCCACCAAAAGTTAATTGTGAAGCATTCAAAGTTTTACTTAAATCCTGCAGAGTAGGACAGTGGGTTAGGACAATATCTGCAAACTGCTCCATACATAAATTGCCACCATCCTTGTTAGGAAAGGATGCTTTTTTTATTTTTTTAAAGAAAAGATTGATCATTATTCCATTCAGTCACTCATAGATTTTAAGGCAGGGGTGGGCAAATACCTGAGCCTCCACAGGTACTGGCGATCGCAGCTCCCATTGTCCACAGATTGCTGTTCCCAACCAATGGGAGCTGCAGGAAGCAGTGTCCTAGTCTGCACCACTTTTTGCCACTCCCACTGGCTGGGAACGGCCATCCGCAGGCAGCAGGAGGTGCGATTGCCGGTATCTGTGGAGGCGCAGGTAGATATAGCAGCAGCAGCCTTCCAAGGGCTAACCCTGGCAACCACCACTGTTTTATTGCTCACACCTCCTTTAAGGCTAGGAAGGACCATCATGATCATTTAATCTGACCTCCATCATGCTGCAGGCCTCAGAATCTCACCCACCCACTCCTGTAATCGATCCCAACCTCTGACTGGGTTACTGAAGTCCTCAAATCATGATTTAAAGACTTCAAGTTACAGAGAGTTCACTGTTTACAGTACATTAGTTTAAACTTGCAAGTGATCTGTGCCCTGTGCTGTAGAGAAAGATAGAAAAAACCCATCATCTTTGCTACTCTGACCTGGGGGGAAATTCCTTCCTGACCCAAAATATGGCAGTCTTGTTAGATCATTAGCTTATAGGCAACACCCACCAGCCAGACACATGGGAAAGAATTATCTGTAGTAACTCAAAATCCTCCTTATCTCGTGTCTCATCACAGGCCATTGGAGATATTTCCTGCAGTTGCAGATCAGCTACATGCCATTGTAGACCGTCTCATTGTACCATCCCCTCTCCCCATAAACATCAAGCTCAGTCTTGAAGCCAGTTAGGTTTTTTTGCTCCCCTTGAAGGCTTTTCCAGAACTTTACTCCTCTGAAAAGTCCTCCTTAACACAAAAGAGTTACTGTACCGGATCAGACAATCTGTTTCTTAAAAACTTGATCCTGTATCTCTCAGCTGAAATGCTGCATATGGAAGTGTAATGAGTACTCAGGGGAACCCAGTTCTGCACTAAGGATAGTGATTCTGCATGGCTGACAAGTAACTTCCTAATAGCAAAATTAAAGCTCAAAGGTCATTTGACAAAATATTTCATGAGAGTGGTAAAGATGCTATTTGAGATCTTCAGATGTGCTCATTCTTCCCCAGCATTGCTTCTTTTTACCCTGCACTGTGGCAATGGGGTAGACATGCAAGCGGCTTGATGCTTATTACTTGCTCATTCCACAGGGCTACACTTGGGGCTTGATTCAAAGCCCATTCCAGTCAATGGGTGTCTTTTCATTGGCAGCCCGCCTTTCCTTCATGGCCCGCCTTTCCCTCCGCAGGCGAAGGTGGGATGTGGGGAAGGTACGTGCTCAGCTCTTCTGCCGTGACCCCTTCTAGAGCACCAGCCGGCAGAGGGATGTGGCTATAGAGCAGCCGGAGCAGGAGGTTTTGAAGCTTGAGAGGCATGTGGCATCCAACCCCAAGGATCTATCCCTCCACAAAGCGTACCAGGAGAAGTGGGAGGAACTCTGGGCCTTCGAGGACCAATGGGCCCGGGGTACCTTTGTTCAATCCTGCATCTGTCTCATTCGGGAGATGGATCACAGCTCCCACTTCTACGCCCTGTAGAAAAAGAGGGGGGCCAAACAGCACGTCACCTGCCTTTTGGCAGAGTACAGCACCCTCCTCACGGATCCAGAGGCG